CGTGTTTTTTTATCGCCGCATGGGAATTGAAGTTTCTGCCGGCGCATGGCAGATATTCCCCGCTTTACGTCATCCGTTGAACGTTTTAGAAACAGAATTTTATATAATATATTAGTTTCAGTATCCAGGATTACTGTAATTACTGTAGCGAATAATTTTGGTTGCGCTTAACGAGTCGTTCCACGGGTCGTGCAGTTTCAGAAACAGATGTTACCCTTTATTCAGAGGTCACACATATCAATGTTTTGACCCATCTGACAATTCTTTTTTAGAAACTGGAATCAGTCTAAGAGCACGTTATGGACCTTGAGTTTACAACCTTTGCCTGTTGTCTACTTATAAGTTTTGGTTTTTGATTATGAAATATAATAGAATTTAATAACATAAGAACGGCACAAAAACCATTTAACTAAAGATTTTAAAAGGGTTATGGTTGATTGGCCAAAGCATCAGTGTCCATCAATCCATTATAGCTACTTGTGCTGTTAGTAAACCACTTTAACAGTGTCTGGAGTATAATGATGCAAATAGGACTAACTCATTTAAATATGTAACGTATCAAAATATGGGTTCGTTATAAAGCGACGTTGATTCAGTGGTTCTAGAAGCCAATAATAAATCAATATCCAAGTTGAGGATATTATTTTGTTCTCCCATGATACTATTCACTGTGCATCATTCAACTTGATATAATGTCTTTCTTGTTCATCTGTTCAGACTGTAGATGGTACAGTGAAACAAAATATTCATCTGCTTTCTTTGGGATCAATCACAGCATTGTGTCCAATCCTTTTATCTGCATCTAGACCGTTTTTCCTGGATATATCTACTGAATTGGAATGTGGGGTCTTTTTTAAAGAACTGAAGAAGTGCATTAGCGAGGGATTATCCAAAACTCGATTAACGATGAATTACATCATATGTTCAGCTATAAGTTCTATGGGACAAACCCTACAGTAACACTTGCAAGAACGATTACTGTATGAAAAAACAGCATGTGGTTCTGAGAGTCATGTTGTCAGTCACCCATCGACATTATCTTCTGCAAAGAAGATAAGCAGCGTGACGCACATTTTCGCTTGTCATGCCTTATTTGTAAAGCGATATTTGCATTCGTCAGTAAGCCTTTTGTAGACAACGTGACCTCATGGTCAGACCTACCTTACAAAGCAACAATAAAAGAAGAAATGCTAACGTGTATGACTATAGGCATGAAAAATAGTCAAGATCAGAGAGAACGGCATGTAGTCGAAACAGTGGCGAAGCTAGGCGCGTAACGTGCCCAAGGTATTTGTTCCTCTGCTTGGCTCTTGGATACCCTTAAATATCTTTCTGAAAGGAATTCGTATTGAAAGTCTCTACAGACATCCTGGTAACCTATTTAGATCATTGCAAATCTGACCTCTAGATCTGAACTGAATATAATAGTTAACTGTGTTTGAAGGTGTGCTAAACCTTGTGACAGCTATAATCTTCCGAAAGGACTTCATTTCAACCATTTTTATTTCGTGGTGAACCCTTTCCTCGAAGATACTGCATTCAAGACTACAGAAGCAGACAAGTCATTGGCCTGAAGTGGTACCAATTGACATTAGTTATCAGCTGGGTTGTAGAGCATGTTAACAGATTTGCACGAACAATTTGTCTAGAAAGATTTTTCAAAATATTTCAGCATTTCGAATAGCGCAAGCAATGAATAATCGCTTTTTCATAAAGCAGTTCTTGGACATGAGGACACGCATGTAGATCTTGAAGGTAAGGTAGGTGTACAGGCAAACTTTAGAAAAATAGATATTGCATTGCGATTCAGTTAGTGATGCATCAACGGGGATTCAATTCGGCTCCCACGTTTTTGTACGTTTACACTGAATCGCATTTCTGTGTCTTCGTCCTGCTCGTCCTCGCCTCAACGACTGCTAGCAAATGATATTGTGTGGTAAGAAGTCATAGCCAATTAATGAACGATGGTTGATCAGTCATGGTGCAGTAAGGCGGTCGGGAAACCGTTCCCGCAGACAGATTGGAGTTGATCCTCAGTGACAGTCAAAAAACCCCGTTCCCTTACAACGAGTCAACAGTCGGATGGCGTTGCAGAACGCCGAAAAATTTTCGCGACGCCATACTTGACGCAACAGGATGGAAATTAGAATTTAAAACAACTTGAAACCTATTAATGAATGGTTAGATATAGCAGCTTCTTTCCAAACCAATGTTGAGCTGAATGAACAGAAAAAAAAGAAATCATTGGCTTTAAGCCGGACTAGATGTATCGATCACAGCACCCCTCCTATCCAGTCTCTCGAAACATTGGTTCAGATAATAATATAATATACCTTTGTGTGCCTGTACGATCCTCATCGTGGAATTAGAAGAAGTAACCGCTTGCGGGAAGATTCCAAACAGAGGTGTTTGTTTTTTTGCCACTGAGGATAGTTCTTTTGCACCGGGGCTCATCGATTCATCGTGCAGGAATTGGCTGTGTTCCAAGAGGCAAACACCAGCGTCATCAACAGGTATAATCATGCGGCTCTCATCATCGCATCCTGATGACGATGCTGTTGTGTGGCATAGACAGAATTTGGACTATTTGGACCTGAAGGATTTACGCGTCATCCTCAAGTCTTTGTTTGCCTCGATCAAAATCACCCAATCAGCCAGAGATATGCTTATGCAACTCTTCTTGCTATCAGCACAGCAAATTTACTGCCATTTGAAAATACGCAAATGTATTTTTAATATTCGGTTTGTTGCACACTAACTAATCTTCATGTGTTCTCATGAATAATCTCATGGCATAAGTTTGTGCCGACGTTCGTTTTCTGTCCTTTAGGTTATCGCAAGACCCAGTGAAGCTGAATTAATATGAATGTTTATATTGGAAACATTTGCATTAATAAGTGGCAGTAATCTGAGGTAGCAGAGGTGTCAAATGATCTTCAAACCTCTCGGATAATCATGAACAGTTAATTGATGCAACAGGGAATTAAAAATGACATTTTTGCACAGCACGGTGGTGAAAAATCCAAAACTTTTTCAAGGCTGCGTATCAACTGGCACATTGTTGATATCCTGTTTAAAAGAAACCAGGCTGAAGATGACGAGACAACTGAGGCAGAATTGCAGCAGCGCTCATAATGTAATATTCCAATAATACAAAATTCTTATTAGCGATGGTCAGTATAAAGTCGTTACTCTCTCCACCGTCATAAAATGATTTTTTCAGTAATTTACAAACTCTTTAAAGTCAAATATAGTATGAACGTAAAACGAATTTATTAAAGTCCGTTAGCGAAAGAACGTGA